ACCAATCGGTATCTCACCTTTCGAGACAAGTGTACTACCAACTGCGGCTTAGTTGGCTGGGGAACAATTCATGCAGGGTGCGGTTTTCAATCTCTGCCGTTCGGCAATAGTTTCCGCTACACCACCACTGTCTCTACAATAATGTGACGTAATTGGGATAAATCTCTATCAGAAATCAATGCGAGTCCCTTTGAACCTTTGTGAGGTTTGTTTGCATAACGATGTGCCCTTAGTCCCTTTCTATCTGTTTGGTTTCCTGCGCTCCTTTAAACAATGCACTGTGAGCGAATTTCGATTGCCAAATTGAGCGTGCTATCCCTCAGAATTGCAGTAATGGAATAAGTTCCAGGACTGTATAAAGGCGTTACGAAGCCTTTTATGGTCAACGTATGTATGTAAAAGCAATCAAAGGGAAGTGGCACGCTTCGTAGATATCGCTTCTCGGCTCTTTGTCTAAGATCAAAGTTTAGTTTAGATGTGATTCCAAGAAAATAAATCTGGTAGTGGTTTGGTCTAGCAACATTTATCAATGAATGCGCATCATGCAGATACTGCCTTTAACCGCGTCATACTTCAAGTCATTACAAACGCCAGCTTTCGCTATTGTAGCAGTTTTGACGGTGAATCTTTTTCTAGTATTTGGAGGGTTCTCTGAATCAATATGTAGAAGCTTCTCTATGTCCAGGTGCTGTCAACAGTGTTCACTGGAACTGTTTCTAGAATTTTTTTTTTTCTGACTTGAAGGCAAGGATCTATATAAAGGAGTGAGGAGTGTAAGAGGCAGGCAGGGAGATGAGAGATAATATGAGCGCCGGAAGGGGTAAGAAGTTCACATCGAAGGAGCATAGCATGTAAACATCAGGGCACAGGTGAGATGTCGAATGATGGGCGGACCCTGATAATTCAGGTGGGATTTGATCAAAGTTCCTAGCGCCTAGCGTCTTAGTGACGCGTTTCAAGGTGCAAAGGTGGCGCGACCTCTGCACTTGCGCACGCAGCACCTATAGCCACGGGCGGGGCTTAGTCAGCAAGGCTGAGCCCCGCCCGTGGCTATAGGTGCTGCGTGCGCCTTCAAAGGCCTCACCTTTAAAGGCCCCAGATAAAGTCGTGTCGAACGGATCTGTTCTGTGAGTAGGATAGAGTAGCGCGCGGTATCACAGCTAGTAGAGCCACAGAGCAAGCAATTTTAGTAATTTGTCCGGATCTCATTTCGAGGAGAAAAGAGGGAGTCCTGGTTTACGGGCTTTATCGGCGGCTTGCTCTTTTTCTGTTTTCTGTCAATTCGGCATCCACAATATCATATCGACCGTTGTTATCCCCGCCACCTTGATCTTGGGTTGTTGCTTCAAAGGCGGATCTTGCGATAAAAAAGGCAGCTCATCAGAAATCAAGGTGGAGGTGGGTCTAGTAATGCAGGTTGAAGAAAACCAATGAAAACGGAACATTAGAACTGAAAATAGACTCCTCCTTACGCCGTGTTCCGCAGACGGCTAAAGTCTCATCGTACTGGGACGTCATCACAATATACCGGCTACTCTGCCCTCTGCTGAACGCTAGTAACTCTCGCCGCAGGTCCGGACTACGACGAGCTGGTCAGCGCAGCAGTGTAGCGCCGATAAGATCTTGCTAAACCGCTAGGGGCATACCTTTCGCTGCAAAACGCACATCGTCCTGCACTCTTAGCAGCACATCTGCCTTTCTTCGACCTCTGACCTTGTCGTGGAATCCTCCTTTGATCAACTCGCTCGGCACATTGAGGCCGCCGTGTAATATCGGACCACCTGCAACCAGTAAATTGTTGGCGCGCCCCCTAATTTGCGATTCATTTTTCTCTCATATGAGCGTCCTCTCACGTTTTTATGGTTTGTTCTGTAGATCCCAAATATGATTGCAAACAACGTGACCCGCAAAATGGTTATTCATGTTTAGGTTCATCAACTGTTTTTCGAGCCTTATGATTATTTTCATTTCGTTGGACCTCACTTTCCTTTTTTGTCGCCATAAATATGTAAAATCGAAAAGAAGAGAAAAAAGTAAATTCAAAACTGGATGGTAGTACATATTTCAGTGGATCAATCAGGGCAAAATTGCTTTTGACTTTCTTTTGCAGGGAGAGCTGCTGAATCTTGTTTTTCCATTACATGTCGTTTCGATCCCCCTCACACCTCCTTCGATTCTACACACTAATCTTGCTGAATTTTTCACATCACCCTCTCTTTATCATTTACGCCCGGACCGTCACGGACTGAGTTGAGGCGGTCGGGAAATTGGGCCACTGCGCGCCTGTCGCACATTAATCTAAACAAAAGCCCAAAAGGCCCCGCCGTTGTCCTATGCTAGAATTTTGGTTGTTACGATTTTAATCTTTCTAAATCTATGGGTGTTAAGGGTTCAGACGCAAAAGTCCCCGCTCAGTTTTAACCCATTGCATGCCACACTTTTTTTTTGCTTAACGGCGCCAGTGATGGACGTCCCATCGCCGCATGCACCACAACGGGTATCAATTTTCTATTCACATATGCATGTGTTATATGAACGCAGTATTCACACGCGTACGTATTTTATAACCGTTTATATTTGAAAAGGGGAATCGAGCAATTACACCTTGTATGGAAGAGAAAACTGTTAAAGCGAGAGATAACGATAAAGTGTGTGTGCAGTGTGTAAGAACATGCCCCAGTGGAAGCAGTAGTCAGGGGCCAAAGGAAATGTGCGTTTTTGTGGCCAAAGGTGCGCGCTACCATTCCTTTCTGAGCTCCGCCACGGCCTGTGCTCCGCCCCCAGCAGCACTGTCCTTCGATTATCATTTGACGAAGTATTCCGCTTTGAGTGCGTATCCTATAACTTTCTCATGGGAACTTGGAGAGGTCCCATTTTGCGCGTTTTCAACGGATTTTTTTGCTTTTTTCGCCACTGGAGCACCTCCACTTCCATCGTACACCCAGTACAATCTTATCGTAATCTCTCGCTCTAAAGTCTGGCAGAAAGCAATAGTGCGTAATACTGAACAGTATCAACAAGAAGGAGACAAATAATATAGGAGATATAGGGAATTTCATCGCTTTGAGTATTCTTATGTTAGTCATCCCACATGAGAAGTCCCGGTCCTGTTCGTTACGAACGTAAATTGCTTATTCCTTACGAACATAAATTGGGAGGCTGCAGCCGAAGCGTTTCACATACGCAATCTGCTATCTAGGTCTCCTTCTGCCAGAGAGTCTTACGTTCAAATTTTCTGGGTGGAAAATAGGTTCCTCTAACATTAGAACATGAGAAAATGCTCATTAAGGCGATGAAAAAACGGTGGTGCACTGTGTGTATCACGCGGTCCCACAGAGGCGAATGAGCGTGCTGTGCCATGTGCCGCATATGGTAGGCAATGGGCTAAAGGCAGAGTTCACTGAAAGGCAGCTCATAAGAAATCAGGGTAGAGGTGGTTAGTGGATCAGGGATGAAGAGAAACCATGAGAAACGACCTGGAACCCGAAAAATGGGACCCATTGCCCACAATTTCCGCATTGATGCGACTCTCATCGGTAATGCCCTCTTCAACGCTAACGTTCTCTCTGCTAAAAGCCTAAGGTCAGAAGGCAAGGGGTGGGCGAGCAACGGCGCGAGCTGCACGGGTTTGGCTCGCTAGGCTGCAGGGGCATGCCTTTCACTACAAACATTACCTAGAGAGCCCGCCCCTAGGTATGTTTTCTCTTCGTTGACTGAGTGTGATGCATCCACGTCTAAGCGACTGAAAGGAAGATTGGTGAGGGAACAGAGTGAGCGGCAAAAGTGTGCAGAAATTTCATTGGGCGGAATAGTTGAAGATTTTGAGCAACAGTATGTGCTGGGATTGCACTAGTGCAGTAGCGTTGTTTGAACAAGTGACTATAGGACACAGTGAGAGAAAACACCTTACTGCGAAAAGCAATTAGTGCATGAACAGAAATGATGTTTGTGAGCGGTGTAGGAGTAATGACCGCTTTTTCGGGAACGTGTTCAGTCTAAGATTATCAGTCCAGTTCTAAAAACCAGTGATCATATGGATGGTGATGACTACAAAGTTCCGAGGTGTTTCGGCAACATTGCATGGGTCTTACTCTGTTGCAATAAGAGCGATGGTGTTAAACTAAAAGTAGAAATAGTTACATAAACAGCTGAAAGGTGAAGTTGTGAGCAATGGACAGCTGGGTCACTGATTAAGAGAACCGAAAAAGAGGTAGAGGGAGGTTACGATAAGAAGGAAATTGGCATTAGTCGGAATTTACAGCTGACTCAAATAAAAACAGTAGCAGTTTCAATGATTCTTTTTCATGAACTGTTTGTACAGCCCTGGTGATCCCTATTTTGTGCGCATCTATCGCTAGTGATAGTGCGATGTAAGGTCATGTACATATTTCTTGCCTGAGGTACATCCAACTCTCATAATCTTCTCTTTCTCAAGAATTGCTTTGCATCAGTCCAAAAATTATGTCAAAGGAGTATCTCTGAAGGACTGGAATTCTTGAAAAAGGATATCTCTGAAGGACTGGAACTCTTAAAAAGCAGGTCGTATGTTCTAAAACTATAAAACAACAATAAGTCGTGGATAAAAAATTGAGACCTAGAAGAGCAAATCACGTCCCGGGTGACTTTTATAAAAGATCGACTGTTGCTTGGTTAGATGCCCCTGTCTCCCTTGCGATAATTCGGATTATCGTGGGCGAGCCATGTTTATTTGGTCATCGTGCAGTTCATTTTGACTTTATAAGAGCAAGCCATGCAAATTAGGCTTTCGCGAAAGTACAAAATGTTAAAAATTTTGCTGTTCGATCAGAAGAGCTTTTGAAGTAGGGTGCAGATTTTGTCTCTCCCCTCTGTTCTAAGGAGCTGGGTTATGGGCCGAACTATGCCACAGGCTGGAATCGAACTTGCACTTTTCGCGCACGGTGCTTTCGATTGGTGTTCACAAAGGTTCTTAAGTAAAACGATGCAAGCCTGCGGAGATTCTGGTGATAATAGTAATCAAAGAAATTTTTGTCATGAAGTGTAAGTGTAGCACACTGCCCGTAAAGTGAGAGGTGCGCGTTCGATCCCAGCTTAGGGCAAAAGGAGTTTGGCCATAACCCATCATACCTGTGGAACATTCAGAAAAGTAGCGGTTCAAAAAAGGAACTGTAATTCGTGGAGCTTAAAGCTATTACTCTTCCTTGTATTTTCGCGGACAGTAGAGTTCCAAATAGTTCTTGTATAGTAAAAGTCGGTTCAATAGTTTTTTTTTGTACATTTGGATTTTCTCACCATAGTTTGTTAATTTTTTTCTTCTTAAAGGAGTTATTAAATTAATTAACGTAAGTATCCGGACTCGAGCTGCGTCATTTATGAAGATTTCTGAGGCGATTCCGCTCATTGCAAGAGCGGTCTGATTGCTAAATGGTGTGTCCTTTGAATTTGATACCCACGAACTGCTCCCTGATGCATATTTTTGCTCATCTATTTTGAATTAATAAATTAATATTTAGTAAGTGCTGGGCAACGTAAGCGCCATAGTTACATTTGGGCAAAAACGCGCTTCCTAAGAGCCCAACCTGTTACTAGTTCTGAGTGGAATCTTGACTTGACGCGTTTCTAAGAAATGTGCTCAACCCTGGCTTTCTCATATTATCGTTCAATCCGCCCAGTATTAGCTCATTATTTTATCTCGTTTGTAATGTCTTTGCTGTAGGGCAAAAAAAAACGAGTAGACAAAAACGTCAGCTTTTTTACACCTTTTTAATTAGCAGCGTGAATGAATCTTTCTCACGTACACACAGGGAGAAAAAATAAATGGATGTATTGAAACCGATTGCACTTGTTAGGGGTTCATGTTTTAATCCGTACTTGTCGAATGTTTGTTTGATTTCACGAGTATCGGAACGGTATTGTATGGCAGGCCGGAAATACTGGCATAAAAATTTGGAATAGCGCGGTTGCGTGAGTTGTGGCCGGGAGACGTAATCGCATTTTTGTCGCGGGTGCAGCCCACATATGGGCTATACAGGCTGTCGTGGTGGCTTTTTTGAGAAAAAAAAATGATTCTCTTGTAGAGAACGCGTCAGCGAGGTGGTTAGTCACCCTTTTCCATTTGCACGGCAGCGAATACATGGGTGGATCTAGAGATTGATATATGACGGGGAAAAGTTCTATCAAACGCTGATGAGTCGAATGAAGAAACCCAAGGACGTCAAGGATGAGTATAGCGAAGGTTTATTGATGTTGACCCTTAAGAATACAGTTTCTGAAGCCAACTATGAAATTTAAACCACTTGGTCTGCACTATGTCATCTCGTAATTGTTGGAGTTTTACCTCGCCATGTGGCCAGCTACAGCTAGAATGATTCCCTACCTTGCT